ATTCTGGGGTATTCCCCACCACCCCCATCTTTTTCTTTCTTTGAGATTGGTTCATTCATCTGGGCTATCAGTCTCTTATTCAGCTCTTGGTGTTGCAATAGTGCCATTTTTAATAGACGGTTTAGAGAGATTCTCAAAATCGGATTTTATTCCCTTCTTTTTCCAAATCCATTCTCCATAGAGATAAATTTACCTTTTATTTTAGGAGGAAGTAAATAAGAGACAGCGCGATTGAAAGATTAGGAAAGACACCATTTCAGCCAACTATTTGCAACATAGGTGACTGCAAGTGAGAATTCCTGGGTCTGTCTGAAACTCTGCCACTACATTACTGTATGACTGTGACCAAATCCTTTCCTTTTCTTACTCTTTATTTTTACCTCCCATATTAATAAGCACTTTGTGTTTACCGAGCATTTTACCTTTTCATAGGACCATACAAACCGTATAAAAGCAGTGTGATGCACACTCCACTTACCAGCAGTATTTCTGTTTAAATGTTGTGTGTCAGGCACTTATATTTGGAGATTTCCAACATCCGATGCTTAAATCCGAAAGCTCAAAGTTATACAAATCTAGTTTGAGTAAAGCTACAAAATACAGCTCTTGAATATTTGGTTTACCCTCCAAATTCTGGTGTAGATGAAGGGTTCTTCTTTCTTCCCTTCTATGTTTAGAGATCAGCTGGGAAAAAAGTCTAGAGCAAGTTAAGCATTTTAAGTTCCCCGAGCTCCAAAGTTTTGATTAATGACAGTCTTCCAATCCTGGGAAGCAAACCACCAGCTCTCCCTAAACCAGTGGCTCTTCTGACACTGCTGTGAGACAGGGGATGGGAACCTCTTTACCAATACTTTGCTCTTGCTGTGGGTACTTCATTTTTTTAGCCCTCCTGCGTGTGTTTTCGCTTATGCTTTATTCACTACATTTTGTGTGTGTGTTTTGTTTTGTCAGACAGATGTGCTACTTTAAAGGAAACATTTCATAACCCTTGATCAAAATCGTATTTTACTTTCATCACATCTGTGTTTATATTATTACAAGCCTTTTGGGTCTTAACATCCTCTGGTCTAAGCATTAATCGTTTTGGCTGATACATAAATAAATGTTTGACTTTGTTTAACTCTTTAAAAATACTGACTTGAAAAAAAAAAAAGCAGCTTATCAATGGCATCTTAGAATAACTGCATGTTAAAAAAGGCAGGGACCAATCAATACTGAGTTTTCTCTAATAAAAACTAAGTACAGAGTGTAGGTCTAGCTTCTGTGATCCCACTGTATAAAATAGAATCTCCTGGCTGTTGAAAGACACCGTCTACCTGGAGTGAACGTGCTACATCTGTGCTTTTCTCTTCATTACTCGTGTTTGCCCTAACTGTCATGCTGCAGTTATACAGAGCCTTATATATCTGAGAGTTGAAGCCTGCTAATCTAGAATATGACAGAATGTCAGCTGGGAGATTTTAAAGGTTAAAAATAAAGGTAGGCCAACACCTGATTCTTCTCGTGGTTCCAGGGACGCGATCAATAATGAAGGCAGTCCAGTGCTTGATTTAAACTGCAAGAGCAGAGAATTTTGAATTTATATCTGCAAATAGGAAAAAGAGTAAAATGCCTCACTGAGTATAGGAGTGAAGATCCCAACAGTCATCTTCACACTTAACACAATTGTATATTATTACCTGTCTCCCAGATATTTTTTAGACTCCCGTGGAATAAATCAGTGTAGTTCCACTGTGGTAAAGGAAATTACTTAAATTATTATCAACTCATGATCCAACATGGGATTTCTAAACTCTCTGACTGATTTTTTAATGTATTTGGCTTCCAGTGAGGATTTGAGAAAGCTCTTTGAAATAACAGAAGTAAAAATGTTGTGAGACCGAACAGTGAAGTAATATCATTTTCTAAATATATATAATAGCTGAAAATTGTTTAGTTATCCTCCTTTATGAGAACCAAGCTTCCCTGACCTCCGATTAATTTACCATTAGCCTGAACACACAATGAAAGTGAATGAAGGGGCAATTTGGAATGACATTTATCAGCTCTGGAACTGTCGACTTCTATTATTTCCACAAGGCCTTATACTTCTTGGCTCTAGAGAAGGCTGTGCTGACTTGAATGAAGAAAAGCATTCTTACCACCAAGAATAGTTACAGTGCAGACAGCTTCACTGCTGGATGCCTACGATGGAAAAAATACACCTCCCCCGTTTCTAACTTGCATTAAATGAGACCAAACCCACTGTTCTCTAGTGGACTTGCACAAGACCTTGCCCTCAGACCGGGCTAAAAAGGGGGAACAAAAGGACTGAGGAAAGGGAGAAGGAGTGAGAGAAGGGAAGGAAGTAAACTTTATAGGGACAGGATGGCGGAGGGATTGAGTCAAAAGGACGAGACTGAAAAAAAACCTCTCAGCAGGAGGGTGCAGGTTGGAATCCAAGCTGACTTCGGATGGGAGCAAGAGCCATTCCCATCAGGGACTGGTTGCTGCTCCCTATGAACTGGGGTGCTGCTCTTGGTCAGATTTCCAGTGGCCAGAATACACACTGCAGCTTTTGCTCCGATATCTGGAACTAATCAGCCCCTTTTGTTGAGGCTTACAACAGAGGTCAAGAGTTGAATATACATGGAAACCAACCCCCGCCTTGGATTGAATCGAAACAAGAACGTGGGCAGGTTTGCATTGCTTCTGGTACTGTCTCGTCGAAATAGATGACTTTGCTGTTCAGGGATCCTTGTCTGGCACAGGCTCGCTGTGTTTGGTTGGTTCGTTGGCTGGTTTGTACATTTTTATGCAACTCAATCAGTACTGATTTTACAACATGATAGTTGCACTGTTGTGAGACTTTTTTTTTTCTTTTAAGTTGAAATCAGTGGAACAGCAGAGCAAGTTCACTTCCATTTGGCTAGTGGGTTAATCTATTTTATTCTAATATAGGCGGATTTGTATTTCTGTAAAGTAGTGAATACCTTCTGAAAATGTCAAATGCTGGTTGAACTGGATGACATTTTAACCCCAAGGCTTAAGTCTTCTAAAAGACTAACAGAACTCTGCTATCTAGGTGCCTAAGTCACTTCTGAGAATACAGAATATGGGCTCCTAAGTCAATTTTATGCGTTGATATTTTTTTCCCCTTTATTTTATGCACAAGTTGTATCTAGGATGGCTTAAATACCACTTTAAGGATGACAGATTTGTCCACGATGTCATCGATACATAGTTAAGTGATACACTCTGGACTACTGATCTTATTCATATTGTTTGACAACAGCCAAAGCATAAGGAAAGGGAAATTTTTACATGGAAAAGGTTATTAAGCATTGGAATGGGCTGCCCAGGGAAGTGGTTGAGGCACCACCCCTGGAGGTGTTTAAAAGATGGGTAGACCCAGTGCTTAGAGACATGGTTTAGTGATGGTTTTTATCAGAGTTAGGTTGATGGTTGGACTAGATGATCTGAAAGGTCCCTTCCAACCCAGACAATTCTATGATTCTATGATTCTATGATATGTTTGTCTGCTAAGCTTTAATTTATTTTTAGCTGTAACTATTACAAAAGTGTAGAAATAATCAAATAAAAGTGCTTTGCTCAGAGCTCGCTTCTTTAAGGTAATGGAAAAGTTATATGACAGTGCTTTGCAGAATTGTCTTGTGTTTGGAGATGTACATCTATATCATACTTCCACAAGCGATAGGCAACTATAAAATTCCTTCTTTACTGCAGTCCACCACCCCCTGTGGAAAAGAATCAGTATTATATGATAGTAGTTACAGATACCTTAGTGGTAACAGTAAAACACTCAAACATTATGAGTCTAATTCCAGTCAGTTTTGTGTTGCTGTAAGTCAGGAATAATTCTATAACTGTGACTCTACTTATAACTTGGGGAGATCAGAATCGGCTTCTTGAGCCCAACCCCAGTTGTGTGGTGTAACAGTTCCAGTAGCTAGAGGATGGCTTTCCTAAGTCACAGTGTGAGAGGAAAGCTAAGCTAATATGTGATGGTTGGGTCTAATACCATACCCATTAGTTATGGTTATTAAAAAGTCAGTTAAAATCACTTCCAAAATATCCCCCTTGATGAAAAGCTATTTCTCCCTTCCGTGTTGATTTTTTTCCCCTCTTATTGTATTTTATGTTGGTCAAACAAAAATACATGACCTAGAATTTTAATGTGTTTTATAGCACTGTCTGTTACTCTGTGTAATCAAGCTAGGTTTAGGAATTATTCCAGTTACCCTGCAAAAAATGTCACCCAATTTTACTACTTTCACATAATAAGAATGACTGAAATCTTAAAGTCAGAATCTCCACAGAATATGAAAAAAAAATCTAGAGACTTATGCAGAATTATCCAGGCTATTGTTTCAAATTTTGTGGAAAGAAAGGGCAGGTTCTTCCTGCTCTCTTGTTGTTGTGAAAGAGTAGTATATATTTCCTTTGACATTTTTGTGCTTGCAATTCTAAGCATGGGAAGTTCAGAAGAAAGCACAAATTAAATAAACAAAACAAAAAACAAACAACCAAACCCACCCTCCCACCCCCAATAAAATGAAAACCCATTCATTCAAACACGTTTGCCCAATTTGGGTCGCGGTGGTTGAATTTTAAGTGAAAATTCTCTTCAGTTCTTTTTTAATTTATCCCCATCAAGTTTAAAATAAAGTAACAATAAAATGTAAGTGTAAAAGTGCTCTTTATTTTCATCATAGAAGGGTATATTTTGTTGCTGTGAACCGTTTCTTCAGAGGCAGTTCTTACATACAAAGTACAAATGGAGGATGTTCTCTGATCATGTCATGCTAATTTTCCAGTTTATCAGTCATCTCAGTTCGAAACTGGAATGACAAGATGGTATCACATTTGATCTTAATATATATCATACAACCTTTCCAGTTTAGAAGTTCATATGAGCTGAAAACAACTGTCTTTGCTTGGATGGTGTTGTGCCAACAGCAGTTTTATAATAATGTTATTTTCTCTTCTGCTTCTTGTAGGATGAAGTAGCCCAGCCTCTGAACCTTTCAGCCAAGCCCAAGACATCTGATGGCAAGTCTCCCACATCACCCACCTCTCCTCATATGCCAACTCTGAGAATAAATAGTGGGACCAGTTCACTAAAATCCTCTGTGCCAGCAACATTAGCTAGTCCTTCGGCCAGGGCTAACACAATAGGTAAGCTCAGTTTCATTTGTCCTTCCCCATAACAATTAATAGGTGGTATCAGCAAATGTCCTTCCTCAAAACAATTAATAGGTGGTATCAGTAAATGTCCTTTCCCATAACAATTATTAGGTGTTATCAGCAAATGGGCATTTATCAGCCAGTTGCCAGTCTGTGAGCTGTCACGGGTTGACCATAATACTACATTTGTTGATGGCAGTGAAGAAAGTCCCGGAATCTTATGACTTTAGGAGGAGTATGTTGACTTTTACAGACTTGGAAAACAAAAGCCTGTGTTAATTCAGATACTGCTTTATCAATAACAGCTAATAAATTCACTTTGTTTAGTGGCACACATTAAAGACAGTGACCTGTCTAGTGGTGAGCATCAAGGACACATGATATTCTACTATGCCATCTGAATGTAGAAACTTAAAAAAAAAAATCCCTTTCACGTAAAAGTCTACATATGCAAATACATCTTTGCAAAATTACAGGTTTAATCCTTATTCCGCTAAAAAGCTGCATGGAGCATTAGTTTACCTTGGTCTAATAAGCAACACAATCACCAGATTCATTCAAAAAACCAAATTTAATGCTGCATCTTGCAAAAGGTCTTGACTGACTGTTTTTAACATTGTTCCAAAAAATAGTGTTAATTGTTCCTCCCGTCAAAATTACCTCTTTGCCTAAAGACCATCTAAATAATAACAGTCCTGGTGGTGATTTTACAAGTCTGATGCGTTAAAGGGACTGTTGTTTGTGTGTGTAAGTAAAATGTGTACACACCCCATTCTTCATCCTTCTAACCGAAACATTTTATTCCATGAAGTGGTTGAGGAAAACCTGAGTTAAGATTTCAGGATGTAAATCAAGCTCTCTTTGGCAAATTAAGTGAGGTAGGTTGTTGTACCTTTGCTACCGCTGTTGCTGCTAAAACATCTGCTGCTGGCCACTTTCAGAGATGGCACAAACAAAAGAAAACACACATCAAACACATCAGAAGCTGTTTCTGTGGTATCTTAGTGCGATGTAGTAAAAATTTCTTGTGTCTCTATGGGTCTCTCCCAGATCTCTGCAGTCCATATTCTACCCACGTAGATACCAGGAAGACCCATAGTTATGTCCAAAGATAAAACAGATTTAGCTCCCACTGTATTACCTTCCCACTGTGCATACATTCATTATTGTTAATGTTGATGAGTTACATATATCAGAGAATATGCTCCTACATCCTATAGAAAAGAAAATAATTTTATTTGGTATGACGTGTTGCAATTGTATAAATATTGTGTAAATATCACACTGTTAATTGCATATGTATTATTATTAGCCCTACATTGTTTAACTTTGGTAGGTCCTAATGTATTTCATCTTTAATTTGCTTGGCTCTACTGCTCTCCATGTACAATGCATTGAGTTTTCTCACATGAAATTTTTTGTCCTCAATAGACTGAGCTTCACATGTAGATGTGGAGTTAAGCATCTGACCTGCATCTCAGTGGCAGGACGTCTCTTGTTCTCTCCTCTCCAATCTTCTTTCCCTACACACCTGATATTTTTCATAGGTTTGAGACCCCTGCAATTTACTTCTTTTAACAAAATGCAGATTTTGAAATGCTGTACCTGTAGTGAGTGATAATGTAATTGGATAAAAGCTGTGAGGATGAATGGAGCTTTAAAGGTCACTCTTGTAGGAAGAATTAATGTGTTATACCATTAATAAACCATGGAAAACTGTGGAGAAAAAGATAACATACTTAAGTTATTGTTAATGACATAGAGTTCACTGCTGTATATCTCTCAGCTACAAATATAGAAAGTGACTTTTTGAGGTTGCTGAGCAGTATCACTGTGCCTACTGTATATATAAGATAAGCAGTCTTCAACTGTGGTGCAGGAGCTGGACAGACAGAGCCTACTTCTAACAAAGGTCTATCTTTTAATGGAGGACTAGAAGAATGAAAGGCTTGTGAACACCCTGCGGATTTTTCCTGCCAACTGCTAGGTCAGAACCAACCAAAGTTAGAGCAAGTAAAACTCATTACCGTGGCGAAACCGTCTGGTTATCTTAAAAAAAGCCAGCATGCAGTTTCAAGGCACCATCCAGTAGAGGCTACGCCACAAAAAATGTTGATATCATTTTAAGGAAAGGGACTAAGGTCCCTAAAAACGGTAGAGAAACTGGGTTACTTTTTTTATCTTGAGAGGTGAATCCCTCAACAAAAAGTCACTGGGAAACATGCCGTCGTTTGCCAGGAAGCTCCTTCCACCGTTGGGATGACGGGAGCTGTCAAGGCAAGACGCAAGTTGTCAGTCCTAGGTGTGCACAGCCCACCTCGCGGGGATGTGGCTGAGCTGTCTCTTTGCACTGCCACTAACTTCGAGTTAAAACCGTTCTCTGAAAGCCCTTCTTGGGGCTGCTTGGCTCCCGTGGGGTGGAGAAAGGCTCCACGTGTCCTTTCGTTGTCTCTGGAGGATGTAAACTCGCAGCCCCCTATGAGTAAGGGCGTAGCTGCACTCGGGCACACGGCTGCGTGGTCCTTTTCTAGAGCTATCCTCATCATGGATAAATTATGCTACAGACTGAGCAGTCACAAATGTCGTGGCTTCATGTATGACTTTAAATCCAAGCATTTCTTTTTGGGAACAGGCATATGTCCGTGTACTAAAAACAGAAACAACTTCTCTCTGCCCTTTGCCATTATCTTCAACATCTCTATGCTAGTTTGGCAATCCTTGTAACTAAGTGCATTTTATGTAATGCAGTTCCCCTCTCTGTCAATAATTCACCACCTACCCTAAACAACAATAATTTACATTCAACTCACTTCTATATTAATCATTTCCCTGCACACCAGCATCTTGGCAGCTACTGAAAAACATAAGGAGTGCTTGCTTTTATTCACTGTCATGTGCCAAACTGTCTCAAAGATAGCAGTATTCAGGAAAAGCCAAATAGTCTGGAGAAGGGCATGAATTCCAGTTCCTAGGCAAATTCGGCTGTATTACAGATTTGAAGTATTATACCTAGCCTAATCAAGACCAAACCAACACTAACACTACTGTCTGTTTGTTTGTTTGCTTGCTTCCTTTTCAATTTATTCTGACTTCATGCAAGCTTGATCAGTAACAGATGCAAAGTGGGGAAGAAACCAAGCAAGTTGATAAAATGGAGATTTAAAAAAAAAAAAATAATCAGCTGGTAGCACTGTGCTGGTGCAGGTTATATCCTTCCTGGTGCTGGGAAGGCTGGAATTACTGGAATTCCGTTGGCTGGGAATTACTGAACTGGGTCATTCGATGAAAGCAATGTGGATCAAGTTATTTCATATAAAACTCTTAGAGCTCCTGGGTATTTAGCCAAAAGCGAACTTTTAGTACCATTAACAACAGTCCAACTGCACAAAAAACTTTTCTTTCTAGCTTTCACGCACCCAGGCAGATGGGAATACCCATGCCATTCTGTCTGCTGTCTAAAAAAAACAACAGTAAAAACCCAGACCAAACTAAAATCCTGACAGCAGCGCAGCACTGAACTAATCTGACATCAGCTTCTTCCCCTGAAATGTTTTAAGCAGCAAGACAATGTCCTGCGTTTTTTGGCAATCAGAGGATCAGATAGAAGAGTCTAGCAATACAACAAGGATGTGTAATCTGACATGATTAGACAAGGCTCTTTAGGAACAGAACATTCATAATTGAGACAAAGAAAGAGTATTAATAACACTTTCCTAACACGGCAGTTAGCCATTTTATATTTCCTTTCTTTAATCTTAGTGTTTTTCAACAAATCATGGGATTTAATAGCGTGTTTTGGCAGATTAGAGGATTTATGGCCCAGATGTTTTTTGTTCTAAAAATGGATTAGGGTGTAAAGTTTGCTGGAATCCATGGAACATGTTGAGGCAAGCCGGTCATTTTGTGTGTGATTAGTGCCTGCCTTCTGTCTCACAGTCCCTCCATCTGTCACAATTCACCAATGGATCTGGTTAGATTTAGCCTCATGTCACAAACAGAAGTCCCTTTTCTGGGCAATTTCATATTACAGATTCATTTTATGCCGTTTTTATGCCCTAGTTAAAAGACAGAAAGAAGTGTGTGCGTGCACGCGGGTGTGGGGATGTGGCGAGGGGGAGGGAGGGAGATTGATAGATATTAGCCTCGCCTTTAATGTTTGAAAAATAGACTGGGGCTTGGAGTCTCCCATCAGTATTCTGTCCTACAAATCACATGCAGATCATAATAAGTATAATCTACAGTACGCTAAAGGAAAAAAAAAATGACAAAGTGTCACATTTAAAATTAAATAGTATTAGCTGCGCCGGTGATGCTTGTAACATTTTAAAAGGAAATAATTCAGTGACTACTAAGGCTAAGCCCTAGGCTGTGAATTTGCAGCAAAACAGTGGACATTTGACCTACTATTAGCAGCATGAATAGGAGTGGGAATGTAGGTCCGTGTAGCTGTGGTTTCTTATACATTTCTGAATGACAGGTGGTGGTGGGGAGCACTCAGTGGATGAGGTTTCTCTTCCCAGTCATTACGCATTTCATATCTATAGCAAACCACCGCCACCTGTGGTTTATTTTAATGTATTCACAAGTTTTAAGAAGGGGAAGAATGAAATGGTCTATTTTTAAGGGTTTGGGATTGCTGGCGTGATCAAAGCCTCCCCTAACTCTTCCCTGGTTGCATCCTGCTGCATGCAAACCACGGGTCCAACCTCTGCGGTGGCAGGGAAAGATTGAAACTAATGGGCTCAAATATCAGGACGATGGTTTTGGCACTGAGGTTTCTCCTGCTTTTCATCCAGGTGGCTCTGTCATAACAAGAACAGAATTACAAAGCACGGATGGGTCTCTGGGCTTTACCTTTTAACTTTTTCTCGTTAATAATGATAAACTATCGGTCCATTTCATCGATGAAAGCTAAAGTGTTTTCTTGTAACTTTCTCTTTTTAAGATATCCTTTCTTCTATCACGTCGTCAGGTTATTTAAATGACCATGATGCTGTTACCAAGGCAATCCAGGAGGCCCGACAGATGAAGGAGCAACTTCGGAGGGAGCAGCAGGTGCTGGATGGGAAGGTGGCCGTTGTGAATAGCCTGGGTCTCAATAACTGCAGGACAGAAAAGGTGAGTTTCCAAGACTCCTTTTGCAAAGGATCGGAGATTGCATTTGGCCCTCCCTACAGATACGTAGGTTCTTGCTCCAATTTTTTCATCCTTTTTCTTGCTCTATTTTCTTCTTCCCCCTTTTTAAACAGAATAGTTGCTTCTTTCAAAAAAAAAGTAAAAATTAAAATGAAAGTCACAACCAAAAGATGACATGAGAGAGAGACCTGGAGACCCTGGGGGGAGAGTGGGGAGGAGGCAGAGATAGTTAAAGCCCTCACGAGAACTTTAGAGGCCACTAATTCTCTGTTCCAGCCTGTCAACGTCCATTATGAGAAGGTGATCTTGGAAATCTCTGGGTCTAAGTGGAAATCTTGCTTTATGGAAATGCTTTCATGTGTTTGTGAGATGAGCTGGATTTGAAAATATTCAAGCTTCTTTAGGAACATAAGCTTTGCTGATACTCAGGCTCAGCTTCTGGGTATTTAGCCTTGTGAGGTTGTCATGTATGATATTTTGTGACCATTGCAACGTAGCACTGTCATGTCACATTAGATGACTTAACAAAATTGAAAAAATGGACAATTGACAACACAAACTGCACCAAATATTTGCAGTGAAACTTAGAGGCAGCAGAACACATGGGCCTGACCACCTTCTGCTTTTGAACTGGCCCGTGCAGCCGTTCTGTAACGAAATAACCGACAAAGTGAATATTCTCTAGAAAAATTCCTATGTACTGTAACCGTCCTGTATGTCAAAGAGGTTATGATTTGCTGCTTTTCTCTGGAAATACCTGATGTCTTTCTGCACATTGCCCTGGCTTATGGGGGATAAATAGACCTGCCAGTCCTTGCTGCCACATTTATAGCGAGCTGTCCTTATAATACTGCCACCTAAGAGACATATCCAAACTCTCGTGCACGTCTCAACTTCATATGCTCAGCAAGACTTTTTCCTCGACTCCCCTCTTCCCCTGCAATATTCTCGGAGCTGGTACAGCCTTCATGGTGCACTACAGCAAAGATGACTGGTCTTGCATTTGGCGTAAACTGAATTTTATTGCAAGGGCTTCTAGTGACTTTTCACTGTAAGTCCTCGTGTGAATCACTGAGATGGGCTGCTAAGTAGAATGAATAAAAATGATCAGCTATTTAGCAGAAACTTGAAAGTCAGTCATCCTAGGAAGCTTGTGAGTCAAACAATATTGTCCAGAATGAGCAGATTGCTAATTTGGATAGCTTTCCATTTTCCCTGTTTTTAGATGGAGTTTGATCAATAAGCTGTGAGAAGCCAGCAGTCTGGGTAATGAATGTTAAATGTACATGTGAGTCTCTCACTACTGTACTTTTTTCATCAGCCTATCCTGGGTGTAAGTGATGTAGAAATGACTCCAATTTCATGCACTTTCTTGAGAGGAAGGGGAAGGAAAAAAGAGGTCAGTGTAATAGGTATCTGGCAGTACATACAATCTCTCTTAGAAGAATAGCAGCTCTGGTATGGGGAGAGAGAAAGAAAGAGAGGGATGGAGCATGTTTACGGCATTTCACATAGAAGAGTACCAGAAGGGAAAAGGGAAAAGCAGAGTGTCAGATATAAGAAGAAGTGATCACAAGCACAAAGGAATTTATATTCAAATATTTAAGCATTCTTGAAAGGATGCTCGGAGCAGAAATTTCTTTTCTCTGCTCCCCATGTAGAAATGACTTTAACACTCAGCCAGATGCTAATGCAAAGTGACTCAAGCTATTCCTCGCAAGCATAGCTAAATTGCCGTTATTTGTTAAGCGCATTGAATTCAGCTGTGGATACAGCAGTTGGTTGCATTCAGAAAGCATCTGTACCCTTTTTTTTTTTCCCTTTTTCTTTTTTTTTTTTTTTTTTTAGTTTTACTCTACATAGGTTAATTCATTTTTTCTCATACTCAGAGAAAGAACTGTCATACTTTTTTTTTTTTTTTTTTTTTTTTTTAATCCTCCAAAGCAGAGACAACTCTACCTATCTCCCCCCTCTCCTCCCTTGTGCTGGCTGGGAATTGTCAAGTGACAACCGACCAAATCCTTTTGGACAGGAAGCCTTCATCCTGAGTTCTATATACTTGCAAAGCAGGCCTTGTGGTTGGATCAGGAAGCCCATTAAAAGCACTTTGATGGTATGGAAATTCATCTTCATGAAGCACCCAGGCCCCTAAGCAGCATGCTGTTTAGCTGTGGTTACAGATCAGTCATTCACATCGGAGGGCAGTAATTGTGCTGACGGCTTGTTCGGCAATGGAAGTACATAAAATAATCCCAGGCCCTCCACCATGGCATTGCGAGTTAATCTTCTTTAATACAGATCAGCTGTTGTTCTAACACATGACTTTATGCTGGCTCTAGTGACTCCGCACAGCCTTTTGATTAAGTAGCAGGAGTGGAACCATCTGCATTCACTTTATTCTGTTACTTTCCTATTGTTGGGATTCTCCTTACCCCTTCTGTTTTCACTTCTCACCCTCAACCCCAGTTGAAGTTTATTTTCCTCTCTAATTCATGCCTCCTGGTGGGCTCGTGGAGGGCAGAGAGGAGTTCTTTTACAAGGTCGCACGAAGAAAAAATTGTTTGCTCAATTGAAAATTTTTCTAAAGCAACCGTAGGTTTGTGGTTTTCGATCCAATAAATGCCAAAACTTTATATGGGTGCACTGATTTATTTTATTTTATTTTATTTTATTTTATTTTATTTTATTTTATTTTATTTCATTTCATTTCTAAAGTGGAGACAGGAAAGGACAGAACCAAGTCTGAGCTCTCCTGGACCGTAATGGCATATGAGTTGCTGGGGTGACCGCCACTAAGCAGTAGTTAAGAAGTTGCACTTTTTAACTTGCAGAGTCTCCTAAGCTGTCTCTTGCATTTCACCCAAAAGAGGAAAAACGTAGGTTGTGAAGTTTAGGTACTTATTCTCCTTTCTGAGATATGCTCTAGGCCATCCACTGACCAGCCAGCTGCGGAGTTGAGATCCAAACACCTTGAGTTCTCTAAAGTTTGTGTCTGATGTAGGACTTTAAAGATTTCTCTTTTATTAAGAGCAAGATTTGAGAGGAAGGTAAATGTTGCCATTTTGGATTAAATTTTATTCTGTTTATCCTGGTTTTCAAGGGAAATAAAAAGAGATAGGAAGGTTGGTAGCGAGAAATAGAGTGTTGCAGTGTTACCACTGAGAGTTTCCCTTCAGAAGCTCAGGGTCCCACTGGGGGACTTAGAAGCAGCCCCCTGAATTTTTGGGGCAATACGTTTGCTCACTGGTTGCTTCCTGACGGAGATTTTGAGGTGGGGGATGGAATTACAAGGGGATTACCTAATGTAGCTGTGCGTCTGCGGTCATACTGGTAGTTAGAAATGGACATTATGTCTGTAGTTATGTACAGAAGACAGACTCTCCTTTCTGTAGAGTTACCTCAGTCTTTATAGGCAACAGACTCTCGTCTGGGGCTGTCCCAAATTTTCCTCCCTTCTTCACTGCAGTGACTGATAAGTTATGGAGACCTACGATTCTCCGAGACCTGCTCAGGTTTTTTTTGTTGCAGGAATTGCTGCTGCAGCCCACGAGTGCCGGTGGGCTCTGTGCAGTTCTGAACATTATGTTGGGCTCTTGATAGGGATTTATCTGCCAGGGGAGGGTCAGGGCTGGAAATCACCTTTGTGAGTTACTTGTTAGAGCTCTTGGGGCTTTTCTCCACACATGTACATGACCCGTTACCTGACTCGTGTTCCCAGATGGATTGATCCCCATGGACAGGCAGACCCGCTGGCTGTAAGGCAGTAGTCAGACAGGAATTTTAGGGGATTGGAGAGACACTGTATAAAAGGAGTCATAAATGAGAAAAGATTTTTTTAAAAATGGCTAGCATGATTTGGGTGAGTCACTTCATGGGCATCCAACTTGGACCATCTTGAGGGATTTGATTTTCAGAGGATTACAGTAAAAACTATGAGCATCATGGTGAACATGGATTTTACTAAAACCTATTTTAATTGCAAATGCAATAAAACATATTTTTACATTACTTTTCTTGGAAACATTTCCGTGTATAAATGAGAAGCGTGTGTATATGTTTTTCTGGTTTCTTGGAAACCCAGGAGCATAGTTTTATTTGTAATTGTCATCTACAGTTAATTATAGCTCGATATGTGCTATACATAAACGATGTTACCTTTTATACACGCAGCTTAGAGTGCAGATTGTCATCTAGTGCAAACACCATGATGGGCAGCATCAGCAAGTGGACCCTGGTCTGTTTGTTGGGCCCCAAAATTGCCTGTTCCTCTCCACAAAGGCGATGTACACAGGCAGCCAGAGCCAGCGTGTGTGTGTGCACGCACACGAGCCCACGGTGCAGTCTTTCCCAGGACACACACAGCACAAACAGGCTCCCAGCTCGCCAGGGATGCTCTGGCTGTAGTCAGACCCTCCGACATTTGTGGTAGCTGTAAAAAAAAAAAAAAAAAAAAAAAAAAAAAAAAAAGGAGAAAGGGGGCACACAAGCAGGTGTTGGAGCACGTGTCTGTGCACACCGCTACACGCGGAGGTACCGGTTGCCGAACGCCGGCGCCTGCTGCTACCAGCCACGTTTGTGCACGTGTGTGCACGTGCCACACAAGCATTTCAGGCGTGTGCAGAGGCAGTCACACTCCTAGCACGCCCTGAGATGAGAGCATCCGAATGAATGCTCGCACCTTCCTCTGATGAAGTGTCTCTGCACCCACGGTACGAGTTCTCCCTGTTGTCACCGTCCTTTCGAAAGGCTGCGAGGTGTGCTTGTCCGCTGGGCTGTCACTAAAGAGCTATTTGTAACAATATTTATTCCAGCATCGTAAGCAGGAGCCTATGTATTACTCATGCTTATGGAACACTGGGTTGAGGCTGCCTTTCCTCCCATTCCCACCCCCCCCGCCTCCTGCCATCCTCCCCACTCCCACCTCTCCCCCTTCCCCTTAAGAGAGTGCCAAACGTGGAATGACAGTGACCAATGTTGACTTA